AATTCATTCTTGTTGTCACGTCAGATTTCCATAGTGGTTTTCCTTGCATAGGACATACCAAACTGGTATTTCCTTGTGAAATTCAGAAGCATTAATAAAAAACATAAAGACTAAAACCAAAGAAATGTTCATTTTTTTTTTCAGGTATACACAACTGTCAGTCACATTGTCATCACAATAATCTGCATAAGAATACTTCATATTTATTTATATGTGTGTGTATATATGCATATATATACACACACATATGTGTGTTAGAGTATGTAGGCTCTACATACATTTTCTCATATTATCTCATTTGATCCTCATTACAACCTTGGAAGATATTTACTATTATTATCCCTATTTCACAGATGAAGAAACTGAGGTTCAGAAAGGTTAAATAAATTGTTCAATGTTTCACAGTTTGTAAATGTTCAAAGGCAGGATTTGAATACAGGCCTTCCTGACATCCACTATACCAGCCTGTCATGTACAGAGAAGAACACTGTGATGAGGATCATAATGAAAAGGGGAAAATACTGTATCATTATATTAATATATTAGAACCAGAAAAGATATATATGCATATATAATATATATAAAAACACATATATATATAGTAATGTTTCACTTATAATTTAAGTCAGAAGAAGTATTCTTTAGCATTTAGCTTATTCCAAATAATGTTTTGTAGGAAGACCAGACCAGGCATTTTTTCCCTCTCTGTCAGTGACATGAGAAACAAATTAGGGTGTCAGATGAAATCTGTTTACAATTCTACAGAGCTCCTAAGTGAGCATGCTTTGTGGATATTTGATTACAGCTCCCTTCCCTGATTATAGGTATTCCCTCACTTTATTAAATCCTTTTGTTCCTAAAAAGTTGATGAGATAGGAAATTTCTCCATATTCAAATCACATATTCCCACTTGCACATTATCAGATTAAGAATGAAATCTCATGAGAAAAAAAAATGGAAACTAAATTTTTTTAACTCTATTATTTAAAATATATAGTTCAAGGAAGGACAACTTTCTAAAATACTTCATCTTTAAAATTCTTAATATTTAGGCTGTCATAAAACATAAATACTATATTGAAAATATCACTCCTCTGCTCAAGAATTTTCAGTGGTTCCCTGTTCCCCCTAGGACAAACTACAGCCTCCTGTGTTTGGCATTTAAAGCCTTTCACAATTTGTCTCCAACCTATGTTTCCAGACTGATTTCCTATTAGTCCCCCTCACATACTGTACATTCCAGGACAGACTGACCCATTCATTTCCTGTTCCCTACATGTGACTTTCTCTGATCTGCTTTTTGTACAAGCTGTCCCCCATACCTAGAATCCACTTCTTCTGCCTCTTGAAAAACCTAGCTCTTACCAGAGTTTCCCTCAGGGGGCACCTCTTACATGAGCATCTTCCCGATTGCCCCCAAAAGTTACAATAGTCATAACTGATATTTGCAGAGCACTTTAAGGTTTGCAAAGAGCTTTACAAATATCACCTCATTTTATCTTCACAGCAACCCCAGGAAGTAGGCACTATTATTATTCCCATTTCATCATTCAGGACACTGAGGCAGATGGTGTCAGTGACTTGCCTGTATTAAATAGCCAGTAAGAGTCTAAGGCAAGGTTAGAAGTCAGGTCTACCTCAGCACTCTATCCACTGTCCAACCTAGCAGCCTACTGCTTCCTCTCCTGGAAATTACTTTGTATTTTTGTTGTTGTTGTTGTTCAGTTGCTTCAGTCATATCTGACTCTTCAATACCCCATTTTACATTTTCCAGGCAAAAAGATCAGAGTAGCTTGCCATTTCCTTCTCCAACTCATTTGACAAATGAGGAAACTGAGGCAAAGAGAGTTAAGTGACCTGTCCAGGGTCACACAGCTAGTAAGTGTCTGAGGTTGGATTTGAACTCAGGTCTTACTGACTCCAGGCCTAATGATCTATGCACTGTACCACCCAGCTGCTCAATACAATACTTTGTATTTACTTTATATTTTGAATTTACTTTGTATGTATTTTGAGTTTACTTACCTAAATATACATTGTATCCTACTGCCAAATGCCAACTCCTTGAAGGCAGGCACTATTTCATTTTTCTTTCTCTTTACCACTTAGCACAGTACCTGGCACATAGTAGGTGTTTAATAAATACTTGTTAAGCTGGAAATGATCGTAATAACTAATATTTATATAGTGCTTACTATGTGCCAGGCACTGTGCTAAGCACTTTACAATTATTATCTCATTTGATCCTAACAGTAATGAGGTAGATGCTATTCTCTTCTTCATTTTACAGAAACTAAGGCAAATAGAAGTTAAGTGATTTGTCTTAGGTCACATAGCTAGTTACCGTCTGAGACTGGATCTGAACTCAAGTCTTGCTGCCAGGCCCAATGATCTACCTCCTGTCACCTGGCTGCCTGAATTCAATACTCCAGAACTTGCATTCTTATATTTTATATGTATTTTTATTCTTCTATGAGTTTCCTCCTTCTAAATGTAGGCTGTAGCAAACACAATAGAGACAACAAAAACACTCACTTCCTTCCTCTTCGAATAAAACCATCCAAAATAAGTATTTCTTTTTAAAGCTAAGGTAATTACCTGCAAACCAATACATACTGTCTGTTAGAAAGGAGTTTGCCTTGGGATTAAGAGATGCCTGCAAATAGCTCATATACTTCTAATAGTTTCCATTTCCATAGAGCTATAGGGTTTACAAAGTTTACATCTCTCAAAACAATCCTGAGAGGTAGGTGATGCAGAATTCATTATTGCCATTTTACATATCAGAAAACTAAGGTAATGTGACTTGCAGGGAATCACACAGCTAGTAAGGATCTGAGCCAAGATGTAAGGTCTCCTGACTCAAACTCCAGTATTCTTTACATTCAACACACCAAATCAACAAGCATTTATCAGATGCCTGTTTCAGACACTGTACTAACCACTGGACATACAGAGAGGCAGGATGGGGAGCAAAAACAGTCCCTGCCCTTAAGGAGCTCATGATTTAATAGCACTAGGCAGGGGTGGGGAACCTGCGGCCTTACGGCCACACATGGTCTTCTAGGTCCTTAAGTGCGGCCTTTTGACTGAATCCAAATTTTACAAATGGAGTTGTTCTATAAAATTTGGATTCAGTCGAAAGGCCGCACTTAGGGACCTAGAAGGCCACATGTGGCCTTAAGGCTGCAGGTTCCTCACCCCTGCACTAGAAGCATCAGGTAGCATGATGGATAGAGTGTTAGGTTTAGAATTAAGAAGACCTGAGTTCAAACCCAGCCTTAGACACTTATTAACTGTGACACTGGGCAAGTCACTTAACCTCTGTCTGTCTCAGTCTCCTCGACTGTAAAATGAGGATAATAAGGTTACCTACCACCCAGAGTTGTTGTAAGGATCAAATGAGATAATATTAATATAGTACTTAACACACTGCCTGGCCCATATTAAGTGCAATTATTATTATCATCATCATTATTATCATAGCTAGCATTTATATAGCACATTAAAGTTTGCAAAGTACTTTGCATACATTGTCTCATTTGCTTCTCACAAAAAACCTGGGAGGTAAATATTATTTTCTCTATCTTACAGATGAGGAAGCTGAGGCTGAGAGAAGTTAAGTGATTTCTCCAGGGTCACACAGCTAGTAAGTGTCTGATGCCAAATCTGAATTCAGGTTTTCCTGACTTCAGGCCCAGCACTCTATCCACTATGCCACCTCGCTGCTCTAAGAAATATTTCTACTTTATTAGTACTATTACAACAGGTAGGTAGATTACAGAATCCTTTCATTTGTTTTTCAAATTCACCAGATTCCTTGGTTATCATAGCAATGCTTCTACATTCTTGGGCCTCAAGTCACCATGAAAAGACTCAGTTCCTAATTCACAGTCGATATAACATCAGATTTTCATGGCAAATCCCTTGAACAGAACACACCCACATACAGCATTGTCTTGTGAAAGTTAGAAGCACTAAAAAAAAAAACCTTAAAAACATTTGCCGTGATTTCTCTCAGAATACAAGTGAGGCAACCTTTGGCCAGAGGCAATAAAGCTTCCATAAATCCTCTAAGACAACTCATAAACTGACATGAAAAATATGGGTGTGGTTTGTTTCCAAGCTGTAACTCTTTGAAAACTTTAGTTTATAGCCAAGTGAACACTGGTAATGATGAAAAGAAGAAGAAAAAGAGGAGGGGGGAACCATCACAAAGAAACTCTAGCCACAGAATCTTTGTTTCCAGTAAGAACAGTCCAAAACACCTGGGCTTTTTACCTTTTTCTCCAATTACCATCATACAACCTTGAGCAGTAGCTTAAGTAAACTTTGCCTCTAAATCTCGACACTGACATAACAAATCTTTGGTAATTAAAGTGTAAAAAGAATAACATTTTTTTTCTGAAAAATCACAGTATAGCAATGATAAAAGAAAAATCTCACAGTATTCTATGGAAGAACTATTTTTAAAAAATTGTTATTATTCAGACAAATAATTGGTCTCTAGAGGGGATGTTTGTGTAGTTGTGTACAAAGCTTCTAAGGATTTTTTTTCTTAAAGAATATTAGCCAAAATTAATGATGCAATTACTAAACCTTATATAGAGCATAGGAAGGAAAAATTATCTCTCTCTGGAGATGGAGGGTGGTGTCTATTTCATTCGGTTTCTGATTTTTCTCCAGAAATGCAAGCTTGCATATTTTCTTCTATTGTTTTGGGGCCCAGCAGCAAAAGGCCTGGGAGTTGTCAGGCCAAATCTAGAGCCCGGTAAGCAAAGGTTCATCCCCATCACTGATTATAAAGAATTTAGCATCAGGTGTGTGTTAGTCAAGCCATCTTGCCCTTGCCCTTGGCAGCATCCCATTCTTTTGACTGATGGATATTTAAGACCTTCTCTGATTACCAGAACAGGAGTATGTTGGGAGCTAAAAAAGACTCAGAACTGGCCTGAGTCTGAAGGACTGTAGTTATTGCTATAGAAAACCATGAAACAAACCTGGATCCACTTGTCTGGGGAGCCTTCGAAGTCCATTAGATGATTTCTGTATAGTGAAAAAGGAGAAGAAAAAAGAAAGATTAAAGGCATCTGTCAGGTGGTTTCTGAGCCATTCAACTATCTTGCTTTAGAAGGCAGAATGAACAGCAAGAATACTATAACTGAAGTGAATAATCCTAAATGTTCATGTGGCTTGTTGTCTTCAAGCTTATTTTTAGCACATTTGATTTCCTCTCCTCACCCCAGGATTTTGCATTCTAAATCGCATTGATGTTTAATAAATAATTTCTGGGAGAAATAGTTATCTAGTAATATCACGTTTTAGTTTGTCATCACGCTCTATTTTTCCTCAAATCCTATTTCCTTTATGGGTGTTACAAATATGTCCATCAATATGTTTTTGTATACATCTATATATGTTTTATATATGTATATGTATTCCCCATTAGATTGTAAGCTCCTTGAGGGCAGGAATCACTTTGTATGCACAGCCTCTGGCATTATTGTCTGGAATGTAACAAAAAGGTGCTTGATGTATACTTGCTAGCTGGATTTGATTATATTATTAATAATGATAGCTAGCCCTTATATATTATTTTAAGGTTTGCAAGCAGTTTACATACATTATCTCACTTGATCCTCAGAATAACCCAGTAAAATGGATGTTATTATTGTCCATATTTTTACAGATGAGGATGCTGAAAGAGATTAAGTGACTTGTCCAAGTAACAAAGATAGTAAATATATACATATGACTCAGGATTCAAACTCAGGTCTTCCCAACTTCAAGTCTGATCCTCTGTTCATTAAATCACCCGACTACTGCCAATGTTTAAGCTATATGGTGACAACTACTGCTGCAATGGAAACTATAACAATGACAGTGACCACCACCACTATTACTATTATTACCATTACTACTACTACCGTTACTACTACTACTACTACTACCACTACTACTACTTCCATTACCACTACTACCAATACAAGTTGGCATGTATCTAACCTTTTAAGGCTTACTAAGCACTTTAAAAATACACTTCTCCTTTGACTACAGGGTACAGGACCACAAAGCTTTTTTATTCCTGGGAACAGGTAATGAATGAGGCAAGTGAGAAGTCGGCACATGCTTATACTCATTATCACCATCAGAATCTCTTTATCTCTACATCTGTTTAATTGAACTTTGAAACAAAACACAAGGTTTTAAATATTAGCCCAATACTCATACAAGGCAACCATAAGCATTCTGGATAGAGAACTGGCCTTGTTATCTGGGAGACTCAAGATCAAGCCTTAACTCTAACACTTACTGGCTGTATGACTCTGAATAAGTAGATTAACCTTAGTAGCTACAGAGAATTCTCGTAGAATCCCTAAGTCCTGAAGTAAGTGGCAACCTGCACTGTTAGAGTTTCCTCACAAGGCAGGTCTTTATACCAAATGATATCATAGGTCAGATCCAAAATGAGGGAAAGGGAGAGGGAGGAGGGGAAGAAGAGAGGAGGGGAAGAAGGGGCAAAGGGGAGGGAGGAGAGAAGAAGAAGAAGAAGAAGAAGAAGAAGAAGAAGAAGAAGAAGAAGGAGGGAGAGAGAAAGGAAGGGAGGAAGAGGAGAGAAGAGGAGGGGGGGGAGAGAGAGAAAGAGTCTTTGTACCTGAAAAACAAAAGCAAGATAGAGATGTATGTGAGTGAATTGCTTTTGACTACAATGTAATACAAAGGAAAAAGAGCTGGAGTTTGAGTAAGAGGACCTGTGTTCAAATTCTACTTTCCATTTACTACCTGTATAACCTTGGACAAGTCATTTAATCTCTCAGGGCATCAGTTTCCTCATCCTTAAAGTAAAAGAGTCAGAACAGATAAACTCAAAGGTCCTTCTCAGATCTAAATCTATAACCATGTTCCTTGAAGGAAGTGTCCCATTTGAACATGTCAGAATGATTACTGTAGGAAAAACTTCAGTGAGCAGATGGGAGAATCAGTTACTTTACGCTATAAGTCCACTCTTCCTAAGGACTATTAATCTCTTCTCCTGATAACATTTTTGCCTTCATGTCCTTCATAGAAGAGCCAGAAAAAAATGCCTACTCTAAGAACATAATACAGCATAGACATATTTCCCTGAAACCTATCAAAAATGAAACTCAATTACTTTTAGAGAATAATGTCTGTGTCTAAGTTAGCTATTCAGAGTATGTGTACTGACTGGCCTCTTGCTACAAAATTTTTAGACATTGCACCTACCAATAAAAAAAGAGAAAGAGAAGATGCAAAAAACATGAATTTGGGTTGGTTGTGACTGTATTTTGTTGCTCAAGTCAAATAGAGAAATACAAGTTTAATTAGCATTCAAGCCAGCCAGTCAATAAGCATTTATTAATTGATTCCTATATTTTGGGCATTGTGCTGGATGTTGGGGTTACAAAGACAAAACCAGTACCTACCCTCAAGAAGCTGACATTCTTTTTTTGTTTGTTTGTTTTGTTTTGTTATTTTTTTTTTAGGCAATTGGGGTTAAGTGACTTGCCCAGGGTCACACAGCTAGTAAGTGTCAAGTGTTTGGTCTGAGGCCGGATTTGAACTCAGGTCCTCCTGACTTCAGGGCCAGTGCTCTATTCACTTGGAGCTGACATTCTAATGGGGGAGACAATACATAAATAATTAAGCACTCATAAGAGACACATATAAGACATATAGGAGAGAAGGTAATTGGAAAGGGGAAGGCATTTGTAGCAGAGAGGCCTGGGAAAGGCTTCCTAAAGAAGGTACAATTTGGACTGAGTGCCAAAGGTAGTCAGGGAAACTAAGATGGGGAGGTGAGGGAGCAGAGCCATTCAGGCCTGATGGACAGTTAGTGCAAAGGCATGGACATGAGAAATGGAGTGACAAGTTTCAGGAGAGTAAATGAAGTGGATTTAGGTGAGTGAGGGCTGTGTAAAGTCACCAGCCTCACTTTCTCCTCCAGAGCCATCTGGGTCCAATGGTGAGATATAGATCAGGATGAATGAAGATGGACCCAGATGCAGTGGGAGACCTTGGCCTTTTTAAGCTAAAGTCTTTCTGAGTTCTCACTCTGACTGAGGCAACAGCCATTCAGTGATTGAGGCTAGGAAAGAAATGAGCCAAGGAGTGGCCTCTTTTACCTAATCAAAAAAAAAAATCAATCTGGGAAGGGAAGACCCTCGGGTTTCCGGCCTAAACAGAAACAATTACTATGCACATTGTAGTATGAGTTAGAAGGACAGCTTAAGAAGGGGCCAAGTTGTGAAGAGCCAAACAGAGGAGTTTATATCTGATTTTGGAGGTAACAGGAAGTCACTGGAACTCACCAAGCAGAATGATGCCTATGCTTTAGAAAAAAACACCTTAGGGGCAGCTAGGTGGCTCAGAAGATAGAGCTCCAGCTTTGGAGACAGGAGGACCTGAGTTCAAATCCAGCCTCAGACACCTGACACTTACTAGCTGTGTTACCCTGGGCAAGTCACTTAACTCTGATTGCCTCGAAAGAAAGAAAGAAAGAAAGACCACCTTAGCAACCAACTGGATGACGAATCACAGTGGGGAAAGACTTGAGGCAAGGAAACCAACAAAAAGACTATTGCAATAACTTAGGTAAGAGTTAACAAGGGCCTAAACTAAGATGGTAGCTATGTGAGTAGAGGAGAGAATGTATATGAGAGATGTTGTGAAGGTAGAAATTACAAGATTTGGCAATGGATTGAATGTGTGAGGTGAGAGTACAAAGCAGAAGATGACACTAAGATTGTCAGCCTGGGCATCTAGGATAATGGTGCCTCAACAACAATAGGGAATTTGGGAAGAGGGGAAAGTGGTAGGGAGAAGGAGGATGGTAAATTCTGTTTTGGATATATTGAGTTTGAGATGACTTTTTTGTTGTTGTTCAGTCGTGCCCCATTCTTCATGACCCCATTTGGGGTTTTCTTGGCAAAGATACTGGAGTGGTTTGCCATTTCCTTCTCCAGCTCATTTGACCGATGAGGAAACTGAAGCAAACAGGATTAAGTGATTTGCCCTGGGTCACATAGCTAGTAAGTATCTGAGATCAGATTTGAACTCAGGTCTTCCTGACTCTAGGCCTGGCATTATATCCACTATGTCACCTAGCTGGGCCAATGAGATGACTACTTTGAGATATCCAAGAGGTAGTTGGTGACATATGACTATAATTCCTGAGAGAAACTAGGTCTAGAAATATGGATCTATGCACAGAGATGATAACTGAACCCAAGTGAGCTGACGAGATCAACAAGTGAGATAGCACAGAGTGAAAAGAGGAGATGGATCAGGACACAACCTTGGAGGACACCCCACTCTTAATGGCTGTGGCACAGATGAAGAATCCAGAAAGGAAATTGAGAAGAAGTAGTCAGATAGAAAGAGAACCAGGAGAGAACAACAGCATCACAAAAATCAGGAGAGAAGAGAGGATCTAGGGAAATTGTTGAGTAGTAGTATGAATGACTACAGGAAGATCAAGACCTGTGAGGATTAAGAAACAGCCATTAGATTTGCCTGAGACTTCCTCTGTTACAAAGTCAGATTCAGTGGTAGTTCAAACTTTTAAGTAAAAGGGTAATTCAAGAAGGGGATCAGCGCAGCAAGGTAGACCAGTGGATAGAGCACTGGCCCTGAAGTCAGGAGAACCTGACAAATCTGGCCTCAGACCAAACACTCAACACTTACTAGCTATGTGACCTTGGGCAAGTCACTTAACCCCAATTGCCTAAAAAAAAAAAGGAGGAAAAATGGAACCCTAATCCCTTGCTTCTCTCTTCTCCATAACTTATCCCACCTACCTCCAAACTTATAGCAATAGTCAGGTCTACAGCTGCTATGTGGGAATGATCAAGAAATGGTAACATAATCTGGTCCAACCCATTTTGCTCCTAAAGTCCTTACAGGAAGATCACTCAAAAACTTTCACCTTCGGGGCAACAAGATGGTGCAGTGGATAGAGCATTGGCCCTGCAGTTAGGAGGATATGAGTTCAAATCTGGCCTCACACACTAGCTGTGTGACCCTAT